GAAAGAGGAAGACTGGAGATGGGAAGGGGCCCGAGGGTGGGGGAGGGGAGGAGAATGGGTATAAAAAGGATCAAGAGTTGATACGTGCACATACCATTTCTCCACAATGAATGTACTCATACATTTTAAACATATACTAATTTTTCAAAAGAAAATAAAGATACTGACTGGTAAGGAACAAATAAAATTGGCAGTCTCAAGTGTTGATAGAAGAAGAGTTGAGAGTGACATACATTTATAAATACTACCAATTTTTGTGCTGGGTGGGGTATGGTTCAGAGCAGCAGGGACAGGACATGGTAAATTCTACCCAGTGAACAGTTAACTTGAACTTGGCCTGCGTATGTGTGTGTGAGCACTTGAGATGGGGCACTTCCTCCTCTGGGGCTCAGGTAAGTCAGGTGTCACCTTTCTCTCCTTTCTCTTGTTAGAGGACAATACAGGGACAGTATGTTGAGAAGAGAGGGTCAAAAAGGAGGAGGGGAAGCAAGAAAGAGAAGAAATGAGAGTTCTCAACTTGGCAATGGGAAAAATAAGAATTTTCCATTAGAGTATTTTCATTCATAAATTGCATGACCATATGACTTATTAACCGATCAGCACATTTTTAAAAGTGAAAGGGAGGCATTATTAAAAATTATGCTGAACTGTAAGTGAAAATTGAGTTGTCCAGTATAAATTACAACATATAAGCCCAATTAATCTCCTTCTATTTTCTGAATTTGCTATAACAAGAATGTAGTGTTTTCAGACTAGGAATACATAACCAATTAAAAGTAGAATGGGAAAATGAAATGGGAGATTTAAATGCCAATAGATTTGATATACTGAGATGGGAAAAGGAAATATGCAAAAAGATTTTCCATGGAAGATAACTGTGCTGTTTTTTTGTGAAGAGTGAGCTAGATCAGCAAATGATAGGCTTAGATGAAGACAGCCTAACCCAGGTTAGTGAGTTTATATGCTTAAAAACATGTACTCAATAAATATAGGTTGACAGAAATGTTTCTATGAACCCTTTTCACCTTAGCAATACTGAGAGATGTTTTTAACAAGAATGTATTTGCAAATTAAATCCTGTGTGTGTTTATGGTCAAATACATATACATTAATCATTTTATCAATTTTAAGTATACAGTTGAGAGTAATTAAGTACATTCACATTGCCTAATCACCACTACTTTCCAGTGAATTAATTTTAATATAGTGTTTCAACCCGAGTCAAAACCCAAGACTTCTCTTTGTTGCAAAAGGGACCACACAGATATCTCAACTCAACTATGTACTTCAAACTAGAGAATACCTAACTTGCAAGTAAATGGACATTTGCATTGCACGGGAGAGAACTGGGAAGAGAAAAAAAGAGTAATTGTGCTATTCAGTGGAAATTTGATCCTTGTGTTTTTCTTTTTACATTTTTTAGACCTATATATATTTTTATTTTTTTTGGTACCAGGAATTGACTCAGGATCTTGCACTTGCCAGGCAGGCACTGTGCCACTGAGCTATATCCCCAGCCACTTATATATACTTTTAATGTAGATAATAGCTAAGATTTTGAATTGTTACTGTATAAATACATTAAATCTATTATTTCTCAAACTAAGTCTTAGAGGTAGACACTTTTATTGTGTACAGGTAAGAAAATTGAGGCACAGACAAGTTGAATAATTTGCCTAAGGTCTAAACAGCCACTAGATAGCCAAACAGGGATTGGTAATGACTCATACTAAACTTGCATTCTTTCCTGTTCTAGGTCTTGCTTTTTTGATCTAATATTGGAAATCAGTCCATGAAAATACATACAAGACTCCTTTCTTTAAACAGCTGTACAGTGTTGCATTGAACGGGTATAGCAAAATTACTTCAACTATTTTTGCACTGGTAGACCTTAGGTCAATTCCAATTTCTGATTTATAAGTAATGCTACATTTATTAATCTTATCAATATCATCTCTCATATGCATGAATTTATAGGGTATATTTCTGGAAATGAAATTTAAAGGCCAACAAACATATGCTTTTAATTTGATTTATTGAAAGTTTGCTCTCTGTAGAGATTTTGTTTTTTTATTTGTTTTTGAGGCAGGGTTTCACTACGTAGTGCAGGCTGGCCTTGAGCTCACTTTGTAGCCCAGGCTGGTCTTGAACTCTCAACGATCTTCCTCCCTCAGCCTCCTGAGTGCTGGGATTACAGGTGTGTGCCACCACGTCCAGCTTCTGTAGAGATTTTATTGATGTATACTTTTAAGAACGTAACTGCTGGGTATACTAAAGCCCATGAGGAGATGAAAAAGAGGCTTGGAAGTTTATAATATTCAAAGATCCCAGACACAATGTCAAGACATGCTCTATAGGACCACAGGGGAAACACCAGGTTTTCATCAGGTGGCAGAAGGCAAGATGATGGGTGTCAGGGAGGGGAATCAAGGCCTGAGCCTTCTTTGAGGATTTTGGGGAAAATTTAGGACACAGATGAGTAAGTAGTTTAGGACTGGCTAGTTTGAGTAATTCTGGCAGGCTCTGGGCAATGGGTTGGGCTCTATTTACCTGGTACCTGGCTGTGAGATAGTTAGGACAAATGAACCACAATTGGCCCTCTTTATCCATGGTTTGCACATTTGTGGGTTCAACCAACCACAGACCAAAAGTACTCAGAAAAACTGTACTGAACATATACAGACTTTTCTTTTCCCTGAAGAATATAACTATTTACATAGGGGCTGGGGATTTAGCTCAGCGGCAAAGCGCCTGCCTGGTAAGCGCAAGGTCGTGAGTTTGGTTCCTGGTACCAGAGAAAAACCAAAAAAAAAAAAAACAAAAAAAACAAAAACTATTTACATAATATTCACATTATATGTTATTATAATATACAGATAATTTAAAAGTATACTAGAGGATATATATGTACAGGTCAATGCAGTTTTATATAAAGGATCATGCCATTTTATTTAGGGGATTGCTGGGGAGTGGGGTTTAGAACCAGGCCCTCACAGGATGACTGTACAGTATTAGGTAGAGGGCAGCAATGGAGACTAGGGATTGGCTATCTTGCACGTGAATGTTTCAAGATCTTTGCTGTCTCTACTTGACTATAAGGCTTTTTTAAAAATGTCAGAAAACAGAAAATTAGAAAACAAAAATATATACTTTTACTAGCAGTGTACAAGATTACCAATTCTTCCATCTTCACCTATATTATCAAATTACTTGACTCATGACTTTGACAGATGAAAACTGACATCTACACAACAAATATCAAGTGCTTGTGAGGTACTAGGTGCTACTGATATACTGGGAATAAAATAAATGAATACAGTCTGTATGAAAAGTGCTTTTTCATTTTTATTTATTTTTTGTCTTTTTGAGACAGGGCCTCACTATGCAGTTCAGGCTGGCCTTGAACTCACCTTGTAGCCCAGGCCAGTCTCCAACTTGCAATGATCCTCCTGCCTCAGCCTCTCATGTGCTGGGGTTACAGGTGTGTGCCACCACGCCCGGAGAAAAATGCTTTTTTAAATTGCAGTGCTGGGGACTGAAACCAGGGCTTGCCTTACATACCCTTGGCAAGTGCTATACACCTGAGCTACCTCCCCAGCCCCCATAAAACTTTAAATGGACGAATTTCTTTTCTTTTTTTTTTTTTTGTGGTACTGGGGATGGAACTCAGGACCTTGTGCTTGCCAGGCAGGCACTTGTGCCACTGAGCTATATCCCCCAGCCAAGACTTTAAATGGACATAAAGGAACCAACTAAACGAAAAAACATGTTGATGAGAACAATGTCAGAAAGATGCCAGCTACTTCCAACTCAACAGGTGTAGTACCAAAGCATATTTTTTTTGTTTTCATTTTTTGGAAAAGGGAGACAACTTGACAAAATGTTATTTGAAATAACAAATGGCTTTGAGTTATGAAAACCTTTAGGGCCGGGGATATAACTTAGTGGCACAAGCGCCTGCCTGGCAAGTGCAAGGTCCTGAGTTTGATTCCTGGTAGCAAAAAAAAAAGAAAACCTTTAAAAAGGTAGGATCACAATATTTTCTCTACCAGAAGTTAAAACATACTATAAAAATATAGCAATTAAGTCAGTAGAATATTGGTGCAATGATACCGAAAAACACTTTCTAATTTATGCAAGTATGTATGATATACCTACATATGAGCAGTGATATTACTTAATATATAAATACCTGGTACTGTTGCTTCCTAATATAGTTCTCAGAATTTATACAGACTGTATTAAGTAGTAAATACTGGGATTTAAGTAGTAAATACTGGGATTTACTGGGATTTAAAAAAACTCTTTGATTCTATATTTATAATAAAATGTATTTTTATAACCTACCAACATATATAAAAATGTAAAAAAGTCAAGAGGGCTGGTAATGTAGCTCATTGGTATAGCGCTTACCTGGCATGCACAAGATTCTGGGTTTGACTGCTAGTGCTGCCAAAAAAAAAAAAAAAAAAAAAAAAAAAAAGGAAGAAAAAACATCAGGAGCTGGGTACTGGTCTACAGTTTCAGCTCCTGAGGAGGAGGCAGTTAAGATCATTTGAGGATGATGTCAAGGCCAGCCAGAGGTATGGAGAGATCTCATCTTTAAAAAAAAAAAAGGCCCGGTGTTGCAGCACATGCCTGTAATCCCAGCACCTCGGAGGCTGAGGCAGGAAGATCGTTGTGAGTTCGAGACCAGCCTGTGCTACAAAGTGAGCTCAAGGCCAGCCTGAACCGCATAGTGAGACCCTGTCTCAAAAAAGACCAAAAAAAGTACCAAAATGCCCTCCTCAACTACATGACAAACCAGCTACCATCTCAAACTACAAAATATTTCTTCACAATTGAGGGAAAAGTTTAGGCATTTATATTCATCAAGTATCCAAATAAACAGACTGAAATTCAAAGACAATCTCCAAATTCTATTTCACCAATGCTAAAATGACTGATCAGTATTACAAGGGGAAAAAGAAATCCAAAGTGAAAAAACTCAACAAAAGCAGTATTTATTTTTTTATGAAGTCTTTAATAAGCTATTGTTCCTATATGTATAGTAGTACTACTCAAAAGACAAATATCTGCTACCAAAAGTTAAATACTGTACAATTTTAAAAATATAATTTTACAGTAAGTTTGTAAAATGGAAAGAATCTACTTCAAATAGATTAAATGACAAAATTCTACTTTTTAAGAAATCTAACCAGAAAATAGGAAATTTCTAATATGCATAACTGAACACTAAAAACATGTGTTGAAGTCAGAGACCTTCATGCCTTTATCCACATAGCTTTAAATAAAACTTTAAAATATTTTCCAGCACATATAAAGCTGTCAAAAAAAAGTGCATGACTGGAAAAAAGGCCTAAATTATAACGTGAGCTCCTGAAGAATAAGGACGTCTTTTTTTTGTACATCCCTGGTTTCTAGCATAATGCTTGGCTCAAAGTTATAATGCTTAAGCAACATTTGTTGCTTTAAACTGAACATAGGCAAAATACACATTTCTACCTTTGGTCCAGTCTTTGCTCCAGTTTAAGCTCATTTGAAGTACCTGAGCTGTTCCTGGTTCTGGCCTTTGAACTCAAACTGAGTAAGGTAAACCAACACACATACATTTTCCCCATCAACCTCTGGCTAGGACCCTCAGAACCACATTGTCAACTGGCTGTGAATCTTCTCTTATGTGCCCTGATTCTTTTTTGAGTAACAGTTAACATCAGTATGCAAAACCAATGTATTTTCAATGTAGGATAAATATGTTCACACGAGTAAGAATGGAATAAAGATCTTGGTTTTCCATATTTTAAATAACAGACACATAGTATCTTAAGGTGTGACATAATTAGCAATTTTTAGACAATGAACATAATACACTGTATTACATAGCACTGTGAGAGGCTCCCATTTTAGGAACAAAAATAAATTTCACATGAAAAAGATTTATCTTAATTCACATAAAATATATTTAAAATAAATCTAAATTTTCATCATCAACGTACTCAGAAATAAATGCAGAGAAGCTGTAGGAGGTGTAAGTCCCCATTTTGGCCAAAATGCACATACAAAAAGATCTTTAGCAATTACTGATCATCACCTCGTTGCCTTAAATTTCTAGATTTTCCATTTTCAATTCTTCTTTTTTTGAAGACTGGGGCCACTCCATCTGCCACAACTCCAAGAGAAGTGACTGTTTTTTCCTTAAATACCACTTTGGGTTCCACAGCATTAGCCTCAGAAGTCGATATATACTCATTCTCAGTGCTTGGAAGTTCTAAATCTACCTCCTCACTAGAATAAAAAGAAAAAAATAAAAGTTATTTGACAGAGAAAGCTGAACGTTTGCATGAACCTGTAAGACACCAAAATCCCGAGGTCTTCTAATGGTAACAACAGTGAGAAATTATAGGGTGGTCACTCCAGAGTAGTAAACTATTTTAAAATACTTGTTTTAGAATTTTATTTAAGATATTATCTAACTCTTATTAAGGTGGATACATGACAGAAAAAGTCACTATTTCTTTTTTACTTCTGTTACACAAAAGAGACACCATCTCAGAAAATGCTTGTGCTAATAAAATATGAGAGCAGTACAAGTGGCTAAGGGAGAGGGATTTATAGGAACTAATTTAGCCATGCACTTGACAAGGACTCTGGAGGCTATAAAACATGAGATGAAGACCATGACAATTTTTTTATGACAGACTTGCCCTGTAGTTCAGGCTGTCCTTGAACTTCCTATGTAGCGCAGGCTGGTCTCAAATTTGCTGCAATCCTCCTGCCTCAGCCTCTCAAATGCTGGGATTACAGGTGTGTGCCATGACATCTGGAGAAAACCATGGAATCCTAATGTTCAGTGTGACTATCTGCCAAGCACCTCTCTTTCACCAGTCCTTCAACCATCAACATGATCAGTTATAAATAATCAGACTGGTCTTGAAGTCAGTTATCCGATTAACAGGGGTCTATGGTGGTACCTTATACCCTGGACAGTCAATTGGTCTATGACAGAGGATGTGTAAGCTATACACATCCATCAATTCATCAACACAGGCAGAGAAGATCATTATGTTCAACTCCCTGTAGCAGCTCAGAATGTAAAATCTGTTGGGAACTGCATATCATCTTATTTGGAGAAGGGTATTCTGCAGAGGTATAGAAGCTGGCATGCACAGAAAAGAAGAGATGGGTGATGGAGAACATAATTTGTTTTCAAAATGATGCTTTCTACAACTTTTCCTAATTGTGTTAAAGTACACATTAAGTATCATTTTTATTTGTTCTCCTTCCCTAGTTTCCCTTACACTGCCAGCAATGGTGCATTTAAGATCACTAGTAGCCAGGTATTGTTAAATATGCTTGGTTTTTTGTTTGTTTTCTTTTTGAGACAAGGTTTCACTATGCAGTTCAGGCTGGCCTTGAACTCACTTTGTAGCCCAGGCTGGCCTCCAACTTGCAGTGATCCTCTCATCTCAGCTTCCTGAGTACTGGGATTACAGGCACGAGCCACCATGCCTGGCTCACATATGCATGTATTACCAGCACTTTACAAGGTTGACACAGGAGGAATGCAAGCAAGTTCAATTCCTTCCTAGGCAATTTAGTGAGATCCTGTCTCAAAATTTAAAAATAAAAAATAAAAGACAGGGATATGCCTTAGTGAAAAGGCCCTGGGTTATTCAATTCCCAGCACCCCCCCTCCCCCCACACACATACTCACACACACAAAGGAATGCTAGTAATTGCATCACTTAATGAGGTATTAATTCTTGACATTTTATTCTTTTAAGAGATGAAGCCAAGGCTTAGGGGTCAAATAACTTGGGCAAAACAAACTATTAAATAAAGCTTGGTTTAAAACCCAGGCCTAACTGACCCTACCCCTAGATTCTTTTCCCTATACTACTCTGTTTCCAAGCAAAACTAAGGAATTCCACTAAGCCAGATAGAGAGATTTAAGTCAAGAGTAGCAAGTTTTTGGTCACTGGACAAATCTATCTCTGGATCACAAATTTCCATATGGGATTTTTATTAGTACTATAAGTGTGCAGTGCATGATGTTTACATTCTTTGTTTAGAGTTGGTTCATGTACATAAAAACATCCTAATTTCTTTTCATCCCCTTTCCCACCCCCTCCCTTTATCACTTGATCCTCTTCCTGTCTGAGAAAGATCTATCTTCCTATTTCCTCTTATCTTCTATTTTGCTCTTTATGTATAATTTGGGTTTCTCAGAGAAGAGAAATCATGCAATATTTAAACTTGTGTGTCAGTTTTATTTCTTTTAATATTATGTCTCAAGGTGCATCCACTTTCCAAGTCACTCAATTTTATCTTTCTTTATGGCAGAATAGTATTTCCTTATGCATAAATACATTTTCTTTATTCACTCATCTGCAGATGAACATACAGACTACTTCCCAAGATTTAGCTATTATGAGCTGTGCTGCTATAAGCATGGGTATGCATGTATCACTGTAGTAGGATGTCTTTAATTCTTTCAGGAAGACACCTAGAAGGGGAACAGCTCGGTCAAATGGAATTTCTAACTTTACTTTCTGAGGAATCTCCATACTGATTTCTACAGTGTTGTTTATTGGGATTGTGTAACTCTTCTATCCCATTTCCGTGACTCCTATCTCTCATATCATCAAGGCAAAGCCCTTCTTGGCTCTACTGTGATCAGGCTCTTATTCCTCCTTTCCTCCTTACTGCTCCGAGACACGTCAGATGAACTCCCACTGAGGGCTTCTCCACTAGGTCTTCCTTCTGTGGATGCTCTGCAAAAGCACCTTTGTTTTGTTGGTATTTCTAACTGTAAGCATGACATAAACCTAATTTGGCTGGCAGGCAGAAAGAGCCTGTCTAAGGTTGTTGTCAAATCAGAGGAAAGCAGAGCTCAAAGAGAAAAAGGAGACAGACATGGTAACCAGATGCAGTAACTTTATTCAAGCTGCACTCCATCCAGGTATTTGAGAATTTCTGTAATTTGCAAATGAAAAGAGCACTGGAATGGATCATATATACTTCTTACAACAAAGCTAGCAAACCAAGAATAGTGACCTCTCATTAACTATGGATCCTGATAATTGGAAGAGATAAAGAACTACTATGTTCTTTTAAATATTCCACCTGGATAAAAATGCAGGTTTAGAAAACTATGTTCCTAGAGTTATTACTGTTATTGTAAAAACAATAGGGAATTTGCTAGGACTGTCGAAATATAAGAATACAAACAGGTAAAATTTCAAAGTAGTAATGATAGTTCAAAAGCTTTGAAAATAAAGTCTTTGTTAAAGAATAATTAGAAGTTCACTAATAATAAATGCTCAGGGTTTCTAAACTGTGGATAAATAGCAACTGACATGCTCTTTATGGAACGCAATAGGGTATTGGATACAATTTTAAAATGGTTGTAACTTTTAAACAGGTATTCTACTTCTAGTCACAAATGTGTACAGAGTAACACCGGGGTTCACATATGGGCCCTCCCTGCGTTGCCCTGCGCCGCCTGAGGTACTAGAGCAGGTGGTCCACGAACTGTTGGCACTGTGGTTTGCATCTGGGCTTTTCTTGTGCCTTGACCTCCTGGAGGTCACAGACACAGGCAATCCATGATCACTGCCAGTGCTGCCTGCGTCTGGCTCCTGTGTATGCCCTGAGCTGTTTGGACACAGAATCAGGTCGTCCACAAACTGCTGACACTGCGATTCATGTCTGGGTTCTGCCTGCACCCTGGACTGCCTGGGGATACAAGACCACTGGTCCATGATTGCGCCACCAGTGCAACCAGCTTCCGGGTTATATGCTTGACATGAGCTGCGAGGGGACACTGAATCAGACAGTCTGCCATCAGCTGATATCACAGTTCGCATCTGAGACCTGGCAGAACTAGGTATACTTCACCATCTGCCAGAAGACCCCAGACAAAACAGCACATCTTAGTGGACACTGAGGGGCAAGCCTGACCACCAGGAAAACTAGGCACACTAGCCAACTTGGCTGAGCTGCCAGGGAAGAGGGAGACTGGGTGTTCTGCCTCCACCATCAAACACGACAAGACAAAGAACTAAAACACAATCTCAGAACTCCACCCCACTCAGAACAAGTCCAGGAGACAATGATGTAGAACTTGGTAAACACACACCTGAAACTGCTGAAATGATTGCAACGGAAGTAAAGAAACATCTCCATCAGGCCATAGAAGATATCAGATCAGAAATAATCTCTCAGGCAAAAAATGAAATGACAATAATAATGAAAGAATTGTTCAGCACATCTAAAGAAGAAATACATAAAAAAATAGATGAGCATAGGAAACTGACGGAAACATTAAATGAACAACACAGGAATGAACTAGAATGCATGAAACAGATTCAAAGAGACATACAGGAAATCAAAACTTCCACTGAAAGCTGGAAAAACTGCTTGAATGAAGCCAAAGATAGAATTTCAGAACTTGAAGACAACATGGCAGCTAGCGATCATGAAAGAAAGGATCTCTTAAAATCAACAAACAACCAGGAAAAATCAATCCAACAGCTGCAAGATGAGGCAAAGAGGAATAATGTAAGATAAACAGGAGTCAATAAAACAGCAGGAGGCAACACAAACAACATAAAAAGAATATTTGCAGAAATAATAGCAGAACATTTCACAAACATGGAAACAGAACCTGATATACAGGTAAATGACGCATATAGAACTCCAAACAACCACAACCAAAATAAAACTACACCCAGACATATAATAGTCTAGTTCCCAGATCTCCAGCAAAAGAACAGAATATTAAAAGCTGCTAGAGAAAAGAAACAGATTACCTATAAAGGGAAGCCCATCAGAATCATGGCAGACTTCTCAACACAAACCCTCCAATCGAGAAGAGCTTGGAGCGAAGTACTACAGGTCCTGAGACAAAACAGCTTCCAACCAAGTCTGACGTATCCTGTCAAACCATCATTCAAATTTAAGGGAGAAATAAAACATTTCCACAACAAAGAACAACTGAAGAACTTCATGAGTGCCACACCATCCTTACAAAGAGTACTAAAAGATTTCGAGACAGAGAAAAAAATGACCACAATCTCAAGAATAACAATAGAAAAGAACCCTCAAGGACAGCAAGCAATTAAACAGGTAGAAAAAGTAGGAAACCAACAGCAATAAATAACATAACAATGATAAGCCAATACATATCAGTTATAACCATAAATGTAAATGGTCTCAATTCACCAGTCAAAAGAAACAGACTGGCACAGTGGATTAAGAAACAAAATCCAACAATATGATGT